GAGCTGGGATCAAACAGCCTTAGTTTACCACTACTACAACCACTACTACTAAATGTTGATGCTACAAACATCCTATATTTTTCTTCATAAAATTAAAACTGTATTATGATATTTTGTTTGCATTTTCCATGTGCCACAGTGTTCACAACTTCTATGTCAGACTGATTAGGACATGACAGAAACATTTATGCTAAAACAAGCATGTATTAAAATGCTATGCAACCTGTTTCAGTAATGTGGATTCAATGACCATGCATAGGATTGATAACTTAATGACATGCTCCAGGATGTTTAAAACTCATCTTTACTCATCATTTTGAGCTGGTTTTGTATGTCTCCCGTGGGTATTGGTAACACAGTTATAGATTCAAAGGGCCTTATGGAATTAATATTTTAAAAGGAACTTGTACACAGAGCAGCATCAGGAACATGGACAGAATTAGTTTATTGAGCAGCTATATCAACAAATCCTTTTTCTTGTTGTTCTGATTTGATGCTTATCTTGTTTGCCCTATTTTTCTAGTCTGTGATCTGCTGCTTCTAAATACAATGCATTATGTATTGGTATACTGTTTTGTGGTTTGCATGACAACCAATTGATGCGGGTTTGACTTAATGAAATTGATGCAACGTAAATGGAGGTTAATGAAAGAATGAGGCCCCTGGTGGAAGCTTTTAAAAGCAGGGCTCTAATAACAAATCAGTAGTCAGTGTCCATTGTCCTCTCAATGCCTTGACCCACCAAATTCCCAGAAAGAGCTTCTGTATTCTGGCCAATATTGGACTAAACCCCTTCTATCTATCTGCTCTTGGAGGTCAGCCTTAAAAATGCATTAAGCAAACAGCTAATTAAATTAAGGCTATAATAATATAGGGATATAGTGAGACAATTCTATTAACAAGATATAAATCATGTTGAGTGTGAGGTAAGTGTTTTTTAATTGATTGATGGAAACAGCGATCCATAGGTTTTCTGGAGACTAACAGCCATTTACCGTCTCCAGCCGAGTAAAAGAGGCAAAAAGGGACAGATAAGAAAATTACGCTGGGCCAAGGAATAAATTATTCAAAAAGATAATCATTTTGTGCTGACATTACTAATGTGAAGAAGCATTTAATCTGCCTTTGGTGGGTTGGGGGAGCCGAGTGAAGGTTTTTATAAAGATTAAAATTGCAACCACAGAGCGGAATCGTTAGCATCCACATTGCTGTCCTCTAATCAAGGAGACAAGAGCGCTGTATTCTGCATCAGAGAGTTCAGGCACAAACATACATGCAGTTAAAATAAATGTACATGTATACAGTAACTACATCAGTCAATAAACAAACAGGATATTTGAGGTCACTTTTAAGTTCTTTGTAAATAAAAAAAAGCACACCATTTATGTATTCATTTAAATAGTAGGGAAGAGGCTGCTGGTTTACATCGGTTTCATGCTTAATAGTCCCAGTCTAAGTAGGAATTAAATTTAGTGTGTTGACCTATGGGGTTAAGCAAGGTTTATCCTTGAATATGAATGGACAAGTTCAGTTCTTTTTTAGTGTGTTTGAAAAAATAAACTTTAATGTTTGACTTTACATACTAATGTGCACTTTGTTGATTCTTTTTTTTTAGCTTTACTAATTGTTCAAATTAATGCTTTTGGTTAAAGATAAGTTCATTATATAATTGTAACAGGGATGATATCTTATGGAAAAACCCACCAGAACTTGTAAACAGAGACTAGGGCAGCTGGTCGCTAACTGTTGATTTATCACATTTATCTAAAGACAATTTTAAACACAATATCAGGTAATCAGACATTGGTCAATAGAGCAATATTTCACTTGTGAATTTTTTATCTCCTCAACATCTCCCATTGCCATCTCCAGTCACTCGATGAGTTATGGTTGGATAAAATATAGTGTGGCGCCACGTGGCGCTGCATGTTTACAGCCCATTATTGCTGTCATATTCTGCGTGTCAGTCTTTATGTCTGCTGATGACAACACATATTGATGAAAACATGGACAGGAAGGACACAATGAGACGCGTGTGAAAAAATTATGAGAGCTACAAAGTGTGATGACAAACGGGCAGGAAGTTAACAAGAGTGTGGCGCTGGTGGGCCCTGGTGGGCAGCGGCAGGCGGACCCTGTTATCTGGCTCATGTTTATTACACCAGGCTCTTGCACCGCGCTGACAGTGATGGACAACTCCTATTAAGACGCTCTCTACCAGCAGCTGGCAGGAGCAGATACATTAAATAAAAGTCTTATTACTTTTCATTGGCTCAGGGATAAAATATGGCCACTAAATAGTCACTGCCATCAGATGCAGTTTGATACAAGATTTTAATTTGAGAGATGGTCAGTAACATGGCAGCAACTGACACAGGGAATTGTTTGGTGCACGGTAATGATTGTGTACAAAGGGTATATTGATGGAGGGGCTTTGTTGGGTCTGGCCTGGGATCCTATCACATGAACTCGCCTCCGCCCCTGTGTATTATGGGAGACGGGATCGTGTCTTCTTATCAAAGATGTCTTTCTGAGGCTGCCATTAGCTCTCATATGGCTACAAGATAAGACTTCTTTTAGACGCGCAATAAGAAAACATGTCACAGAACGAGTTATAGCCAATATCTATCCATTCAGGTTTACAACTATGAAAAAGGCCCTAAATGCTCATTGAATAGTGATATATTGGACAGTGTATTGTTCTCACACACACTCCCCATTCCCAGGGCTGTCTCAGTGGTGACAGAGGGACATCTGCGTGTTGGCTGGTAGCAAGGGCCTGTGTCACGCCAGCCTGCTCTGTGTGCTGCATATTAAAAGCTTTATGGGGGCAATTAAATGTGTGCTTAATGGCCAGGAGTTGGCAGAATGATTGTACAATTGAATTAGCAGTTATGATGGCACACATTACAAGATGAAGAAAATGCAGTTACCTCAGGCGATTCCCCTATCCTCCGTCAGGTTTGACTTAATTAGCTCTTGTCACATACACTTTCTTCCTGATCTAATTGTGTGGACTTAAAGCAGCCATGTCCCCCGTCGGTCTGCTGCTCCTTTTGATATGCGCCTGGCCCTTTTAGGCGGTCCATGATGCATTGGCGCTGACTCATCCAAGTAATAATGAGCCTGTGAAGAATGTTAGTGACAAAACAGCTAATTAAACACATGTATTCAAATGTTTTGTTAACAGAAATCAGTTCATGGAAACAGTCTCATAAACAAACTCTTGCATTTTAGCTTTATTTATATTAGACTACATTGAAGATGGCTTGCAGCTAGCAGCCGAAACATGTCAACAAGGTAAATACACTTTACTGCATTGTCTTTAAAAAGAACCTAAGAAGTTAAAGACTACATTTAGTTTTTAATATTTTACATTTCAATGTATTTTTGTGATTTAATTGTTCTAAAAAAGAAAATATAAAATACAATAAATATATTAACTACATAAACTGTAACTACTATTTTATTCCTTTCAGCTTTTCCTTCCAGAGATCACCACATCTTTTGTGTCCTGTGTAACATGCAGTTATTACCTCCACCAAGGAGGTTATGTTTTTGCCGGCGTTTGTCTGTTTGTTTGTTTGTTTGTTTGTCTGTTAGCAACATAACTCAAAAAGTTATGGACTGATTTTGATGAAATTTTCAGGATTTGTTGGAAATGTGAAAAGGAAGAACTGATTTCCTTTTGG